AGGCCTTCAACGAGATGGATTGACACGGTGGCTGTGATGATGGGCTCAAATATAGTAGGGATTGTGGGGCTGGCGCGGGATTGGGAAGTGTTTCGTTCTGCTGTGCATGGGGTCACTATGAGTCGGAAACGACTCGACGGCACTTAACAACAACAACAGAACCACTCCCGGTATCAAATGTGTTAGGCTGGGTTCTCTAGAGGAGCAAAACCAGTAAAGCTTATATATAGATGTAGAGAAAGAGAAATTTCTTAGGAAAATGGCTCACACGCTTAAAGAAGTTGGCAAGTCCCAAGTTCTTGGATCAAACGTCAAGCTAGAGGGTTTTCCCAACTCACGTAGCCGCAGGGGTTGACAGGGTCAAGGTTGGTAGGCAGTACTGGCTGCTGACTCCAATGAATGATGAATCCAAGATCTCAGGGAGAATGGTGGATTGTTCACTCACGGACAGTTGCTGGCAGCACAACAGGATCCAGATCCACAGAAGAGTGTCTCTTCTCCCAGGATGTCCATAAATATATTGGAAGTAGGCCACACCCATACAGAAACTCCCCTTCAAAGGATTGGCTGTTCAAAACGTATACATTCAATCCCATCATTGGAACAACCCACATCACAATTGCTTAAACCACACAGAATTGTGGTCCAGCCAAGCTGACACACAGCTCCAACTATCACACTCCTAGAGTTGGGAGGTGGGGGTTTCCAGGGCCTGGGGATCTTAGGAGAAAGAAGACTATGCAGGGGGGATTTCCAAGCTCAGGGGTTTTTGTGTGTGATGAAGGGCCCAGAGGTGGAGCCTGGGTGCAGCCTAGCATGCGTGCACACAAACACACACATGTGGACATGTACACACACACACATCCAGTCTCTAAGGGGTTGGTAGCTGCTATCCAATTGGCCCCTGATGAACCCTTGGCTGATTTTTGAAAGCCGATCACCAGGCCTTTCTTCCTCGTTTTAGCCTGGAGTCTCCACTGACACGTGCTTGGCATCCTAATAATAGGACCCTCCATTGAAGGATGGGCGGTGGCTGCACAGGAGGTGTGCTGGCTGGAATCAAACCCTGGTCTTCATGAAACATGGGAATTCTACCACTGAGCGACCGCCGCCTCCCTCCAAGAGACTAGAGGTGTAGCTGGAAGAGACACCTGGGGGCCCCACACATCTAAGGTGGCCACCTCCCACCACGTGTGTGCCTCTGAGCCAGATGAACCCCATGATGGTGTCCTTGCAACAGCCTCCATACGCCTTCCCCAACCGATGACTCATGCCTTGTTCTGCCCGGGGCTCCAGTGCCCTGCCCACCCCTACAGCGTCCCCCCCGCCCGTGGACAAACTGACTAGCCTTTTCTGACCCACTGAGATAGTCTGGGCTGAGAAGGTGGGGTAAGCCCCCCAAAAGCTGAACCAGTTGTCAACGAGTCAATTCCAACTCATGGCAATCCCATGCATGTCAGAGTAGAACTGCTGCATAGGAAATAGATCCCCAGGCCTTTCTTCTGAGGCACCGCTGAGTGGACTAGAACCACCAACCTTTTGGTTAGTAGCCTTCTGTTAATGGTGTACATCCCCCAAGAGACCTGTGGGGAGCCCAGAGGGCAAACAGGATGCAGATGAAATGGGAAATGGTGAGAAAGTGGGTTGTGGAGGAGGGGAAAATGGGACAAAAATGAGAATGGGTGAGGATGGAGGTGAGAATGCAGGTGAGGGTGGAGGTGAGGATGGAGGTGAGGACGGAGGTGAGGATGAGGTGAGGATGGAGGTGAGGATGGAGGAGGTGAGGATGCAGGTGAGGATGGAGGTGAGGATGGAGGTGAGGATGGAAGAAGTGAGGATGGAGGTGAGGACGGAGGAGGTGAGGATGGAGGTGAGGACGGAGGAGGTGAGGATGGAGGTGAGGACGGAGGTGAGGATGGAGGTGAGGATGGAAGAGGTGAGGGTGGAGGTGAGGACGGAGGTGAGGGTGGAGGTGAGGATGCAGGTGAGGGTGGAGGAGAGTAAGGATGGAGGTGAGGATGGAGCTGAGGGTGGAGCTGAGGGTGGAGGTAAGGATGCAGGTGAGGATGAAGGTGAAGAATAAAAAGGAGCACTTAGGTAAGGGTGAAGTTGAGCTGCAGGTGAGTTGCAGGTGCACTGCAGGCTAGGTACAGTGAGACAGGTACATTCTTTTCAGGTGAGGAGGCCAGTGAACTTGCAGTGAACTACAGGAGAGGATGGAGTGGGAATCAGGTGAGCTTTTCCAGGTAGGATGGATGTGATGTTTGAATCCCAGCTGCCCTCCAACACCTGCAGACTCTGGTAGACAGGCGGAGCACCCTGAGACTTTATTGGAGGGGGCAGGGCTCAGTTGGGGCATCCGAAGACCACCATACTCTCCACAAAGGCCTCCAGGTCCTTACATTGATTCTTGTTCTCGTCGTCCTGACATTCATCAGCTTCCGGCCACAGCTCCACCCAGGTGTCCTTCCCAATGATGTAGCTGGTTCTGGTGAGGTTTGACAGGCAAGGAGGTGAGGAGGGGCAGGGCAGGGAGGAGGGGTGACTGTGGCACGGGGCACGGGGCAGCACTTACTTGGGTTTCTCTCCCCACAGGTCCGAGGAGACACCCCAGATGAGGTAGCGCTTCCCCTCCGTCAACTTCAAGGCCTCTCTGCACTTGACGTGGCTGATGAACCTGCGCTCCTGTCCAACCTGCAACTCATCGGTGCCTGGGGGGAGGGAGAGGGCACTGAGCCCAGGGGGCAGAAGCACAGAGCACCCGTCCAACCTGCACCTCCTTGGTGCCTGAGGTTGCGGGGAGAGAGTGCTGAGCCCAGGTAGGGAGGCGGGGCATAGGAGAGGGAGCTGAAACACAGAGCCCCCATCTAACCTGCACCTCATTGGTGCTGAGGTAGGGGAAGAGGGTGCTCAGCCCAGGGGTGTGGAAACACAGACTACCCATCTAGCCTGCACCTCATCAGTGCCTGGAGGGGAGAGGGTGCTGAGCCCAGGTAGGGAGGCCAGGGGCAGGGTGAGGAGGCGGAAGCAGAGCACCAGGCTGACCTGACTTAATGAGCTGCTCTATGACCATTATGTAATCGTCAAAGTCGTTGGACAGCTCCTTCCTCACCATCCTGGTCGTGTACACTGTGGGAAGGGGGAAAACAGGGTCACAGGCAGGAGGGACCATGGGGCACCATTGCCCCCAAGCACACTGGGCTCCCCAACCAGATGCATGTTGGATACCACAGCCAGACATATACACAGTCACTGCCTCCCACCATCACACAGGCACACACAAGACCATGGTCACCCCACACACAGCCACACTCACAACCCAAAGCTCCCTACAACCAAACTTCACACAATTAACTCATAGCCACACATATGGCCATTGTCACCCCAATTACTGCCTCACACACAGGCACACACACAACCATAGCTGCTTAAAACCAAACTTCACTCAGTGACTCATTGTCACACAGTCATCCACACTCACAGGTACACACACAACGACAGCCACTCAAAACCTCCATCTCACACAAAGCCACACCCACAGCCATGCACAGAATATGCACAACTATGGTCACATGCATACAACTACAGCAACTCATATCCTCAACCACTGCCTCACACACAGTCACTCACATTACCATTGCTCACATTCACAGCCACACACAAAACTCACACACACTCTCAGGTGCACTCACAATAGCCACTCATGCCACCATCTCACACAGTCACACTCACAACCACACACACAATTCAATCACCCACAGCTACAGTCATACACATAGATACACCCAGTCATATCCACAGCCACTGTCTCACAGCCATACACAACCAAACTCACTCATTATCACAGCCTTACAGACACACGCATACCACAGCACTCACAGCCACACCTGTCTCACCAATCTCACACATAACACAGTCATACCTACTACACTCAGTTGCTCTCTTGCACACATATACATACCTACCACCCTCGGTCTCACACACCTCTTACAGTCTCACATATAACCTATACCTACCAGTCTCACACACAACCACAGCCACACCTACCATAATTCTGTCTCTCACACACACACCATCAGTCTCACACACAACCATACCTACCACATACATCTCTCTCACACACATACTACCAGTCTCACACACAATCACACCTACCACCAAAACCAAAACCAAACACATTGCCATTGAGTTAGATCTGACTCATAGTGACCCCTCCTTGGGTTTCCGAGGTGGTATCACTACAGAATTAGATTGTCCAGTCTTCCTTCCGAGGAGTGGGTGGTGGATTTGAACTCCTTGTCTTCTGGTTAGCAGTCAAATACCTTAGGCACTATGCCACCAGAGCTCCTAACAGTCCCACAAACACAGCCATGGCCACACAGACTGTACATAGTCTCTATGCACACAGCCACACCTACCATCAGTTGCACACACACGACCACAACTGCTCACAGTCATGTCAATGTGCCCTCCCTGGTTGTGCACACTCTGTGCTGTCCTCACTCACCGTAGTCCACTTCCGGTTCGCAGGCCTTGTCCAGCCGATCGTCCAGGGTGACTTCATCGTCCACCTGGTGCATGAAGCAGTTCTCTGCAGGGGTTGGGGACACCATCTCAGTCCCATTTCTTGTCCTGGACCCACCACTGTGAGTGTGGCCATCCCCCTTGGTGTCCAGAGCATGCCCCCTTGAGTCACCTCATGAGGGTGGGGTCAGTGAGTGCCCTTCCCCCACACTCACGCTCAGCACAGCGACACATGTCCCTGTGACATAGCTTGTCCAGCATCCCGTCTGCCTTGTCCGGGTGGTAGAACTGGATGCAGGACTCCTCTGTGGGCAGAGGTGATAGAAGGGGTCAGAGACCTCTCTTGGGATACCCAGACTCCCACCTCAGACCCACAGACAAGGAGACTCCAGGTACCCAGCCCTCATATCCCTGGGGCCCTCTGAGCCCCGCTCTCAGATCCCTGGGTCCTTCCCACCCACAGGATCCTTGTTCTCTAAGATCTTGGGCCCCTCCCACCCACGGGATCCTTGTTCTCTCAGATCCCTGGGCCCCTCCCACCCATGGGATCCTTGTTCTCTCAGATCCCTGGGCTCCTCACCCCCACGGGATCCTTGTTCTCTCAGGTCCCTGGGCCCCACCCACCCACGGGATCCTTGTTCTCTCAGGTCCCGGGACCCCCACACCCATGGGGTCCTTGTTATCATTGCTGCTGTCCACTGCCCTTGAGTTGCCCTCGACTCATGACGACCCCACAAACAGAGCGACATGGTGCCTGGTCCTGCCCTGTCCCCATGATCGGTTGTAGATAGACTGTTGTGATTCATAGGGTTCTCATTGGCTGATCTTTTGGAAATTGATCACCAGGCTTTTCTTCCTAGTCCCTCTTAGTCTGGAAGCTCCACTGAAACCTGCTCAGCCTCCTAGCAACACGCAACCCTCCACCGACAGATGGGTAGTGTCTGCACATGAAGTGCACTGGCTGGGAATGGAACTGGTCCTCCCACCTGGAAAGGGAGAATTCTTCTACTGAAACGTCACTGTCCATGGGAACAATATCCCCCCATTTTCAGATCCTGAGGAAACTGACCCTCAACTCATAGACCCTTAGGACTGTCTTTGGACCTTTATAGCTGTGGGACCCTCATACACCAATTCTCTGACCCTTAGGACCCTCAGCCCCCAGCCCCAAGGTTGACTGCTCACCCAGGTTGTAGTAGGAATACACCTTGACAGACCCAGGCTGGATAAGGCCAACCTTGAAGTACTGGTGAACTTTGAAGGTCAGACACTCCTCCCTGGTATGTGAGATCTGGGGAGGAAGACAGGTTTGGTCAGTGGGAAGGGAGATGTCCAGCACAGGGCACTAGGAGTTGGAGCCATTGTTGTTGTTAGCTGCCATCAAGTCAATTCCAACTCATGGAGACCCCCTGTGTGCAGTGTAGAACTGTACATTGTGGTGGTCCATAGGGTTTCCACTGGCTGATCTTGAAAAGCCATAGGGCTTTCAAGGCTGTGACCTTTCAGAAGCCGATCACCTGAACTTTCCTCCCAGGTGCCTCTGGGTGGGTTCAAACGCCAAGGTTTTGGTTAGTGGTCTAGGGCAGAGTATGTTGAGAGTGGGAGCAATGGTGCAGAAATTGAGGGATATGGGTGGGGGACAACAGGGATGGGGCCGAGATGAATGAGCTGTTCAGCAAATCCATGTTCTTTTTCTCCCAGACTCACAGCTAAGTGACATTTCCCAGCCTTCCTGTGGGTTCAGGCCATGTGACCACATTCTGGCCAACCAAGTGCTATCTACACCCATAAAAACCACCCATGCATAAGCCCCTTTTCTTTTAGAAATAATGGATCCAGCAGAGGACTCCAAGGGGGTCGTAGGGATGGCAGAACCACAGATGGGAGGTGCTTGGATCCCTGAGTGACTGCATGGAGCCAAGGATCCCTTCCTCACCCTTCTCAACAATTACACTTCACATGAGTGAGAAATGCAGTCCTGTTAACTTAAGACACCATTTTCTTCAGGGCCTTGTGATAGCAGCTAGCATCCACTGTTACGGATTAAATTTTGTCCCTCCAAAACATGTATTGTAAATCCTGACCCCTATCCTTGTGGATGGGATTCCATTTGGGAATAGGGTTCTTTGTTATGTTAATGAGACCATACCAGTGCAGGGTGTGTCCTAAGCTGATCACTTCTGAGATATAAAAGAGTAGACAAGGCACCGGAAAGCAAGGACAGTGGAATGATAGAATACAGAAGCCACACAAAGGTCACTGAGGAACCCGAGGACAAAGAACACTACAGAAGCTAGACCAGGACCTTCCCTCAGACCCAACAGACAGAGAGCCTTCCCCTGAAGCCTGCACCTGACTTGTAGCCTCCTAAACTGTGAGAAAATAAATGTATGTTAGCTAAATCCACCCACTTGTGGCATTTCTGTTACAGCAGGACTGAGAAACCAAGCACTGACTAAAGCAGGGTAAGGGCACTGGGGTATCGGAGATTGTTGTTGTTGGTTGCCATGGAGTCAAGTCTGACTCACAGCGACCCATATGTGTCAGAGCAGAGCTGCTCCCAGGGCCTTCCACACCACAGAAGCAGATCTCCAGGCCTGTCTTCTGAGGCCCCTCAGGGTGGGATCGGACCACCAACATTATCAGTAAGCAGAAATCACGTTAACCATCTGCCCCCACAAACACTTGCCCACTTTTCCCTCAGCCTGATGTTCTGGGCTCCGACTGTTGATAATAATAACCATTACTGTTGTCAGTGGCCGCCGAGTCGATTCTGACTTATGGTGACCCCACGTGTACAGAGCACATCTGTCCTCAGGGCTTTTAAGGCCATGGCCTTTCAGAAGCAGATCTCAGGCTTGGCTTTCGAGGCACCTCAGGGTGGGTTCAAACTGCCAACCCTCTGGCTAGTGGCCAAGTGCTTGACCATGTGTGCCACCCAGGGACTCCGCTCCTGGGGTAACTCCCTTGTTTTATGTGTTCCTTCTGCACTACTCTCCTAGCCTGGGACTAGCCTGACATGGGGACAGAGACACAGAGAGAAGAAAAGGCCAGCCAGGTAGGGGTCAAGGTACCAGTGGGAGACTTACCTTCTCCAGGTATATGATGAGGGTGTTCTTGTTGGAAAAGGTCTTGTCCATCTCGTACTTAGAGATGTATCTGTCAACGCCTTTGCTCAACTAGGGAAGGGTGAGGCTTTGTGAAAATCCCCCCTGGACCCCCTTCCCTCCCCTCAGCCTCTTCAAGACCCCAGAGCCCTTCCTGCTGAGCCCAGCCCCAAGCCCAAGACCTTCCCTTCCTACCAGGTCAAGGTCACCAGTGTCGGCAGAAAAGCCAGTCATCATGGATATATCCAGGATTGACATGGTGGCGTCTTGATCTCCCAAGTACCTGGATGGGTCAGGGAGAGACACCATTGGGAACCAGAAAGAGGTCAATCTTGTGGAGCAGGGGTCGGTGTCTGGATTAGGGCCAGGGCTCGAGGCTTCTGGTTCCCACCATAGGGGGATGTTAGCTTTTAGGAAACACTTTCCTGATGGGAAAGAAAGGACGGTAATGCAATGATAAGGAGGCTTGGTGATGCAATGGTTGAGTGCTCGACCTCTAAACAAAAGGTTGGTGAATCAAACCCACTCAGGAGCTTCACAGGAGAAAGACCCGGTAATCTAGTCCTGTAAAGATTACAGCCTAGAAAACCCCATGAGACAGTTCTACTCTGTCCCACAGGGGCACCTTGAGTTGGAATTGACCTGACTCCTAACAAGTGTAATGGTCTGAAATAAATATTGAAGTTGTCGAGGGTTTTATTTTACTTGGACCCACAATCCAGGCCCATGGAAGCAGCAGCAGTCAGGAAATCAAAGGGTGTATTGCACTGGGCAAATCTGCTGCAAAAGACCTCTTTGAAGTGTTAAAAAGCAAAGGTGTCACTTTGATGATGAAGGTGCACTAGACTCAAGCCACAGTCTTTTCAGTCACCTCATATGCACATGAAAACTAGACATAGATGGGTGTAACTGAAAGGTGATGATGTCACAGGGAAGTGACACTAGCAAAAAACCTACACATTAGAGGAACTCTTGGGAGTCCCTGGGTGGTGCAAATGTGAACATGCTCGGCTGCTACCCAAAAGGTTGAGGTTCGAGTTCACCGAGAGGCACCTCAGAAGAAAGGCCTCAGATTACTTCCAGAAACCCAGGCACTGAAAACGCTATGGGGCACAGCTCTGCTCTGACACACACGGGGTCAGCGATAGTCATAGCTGGCTCGACAGCAACTGGGAGAAATGTCGTAGACTGTTGGGGAGAGTGAGCTGTCACAGGTTGGCTGCTGGAGGCAGAGACAGGGCTGAGATGATGCCCAGGGGTCCAGCTTCCTACCTGGTACAGATGTTTAGGATCATGGTGCTCTTGGCATCCTGAGGCTTCTTGACTAGAGAAAACACAGAAGACAGAAACACGGTAAAGAGGTCTCCCGGTCCCCACTCAGGAATGGGGTCAGATGTTAGGGTTGGGTTGGGGGACAGTGCCATAGCAGGGTCTTTATTCCTTTTACCTGTTTGGGGGGCTGGCTGTATGTTGACCCTAAGGCTGAACTTCTTGCAGGAGGTTTTGCCTTTGACCTTGGCATGGTACACTGTCACCACCTGGAAGGTGGGAGGGGAAGAAATGAAGTCTTGGGCACCCAAGACTTGAGACAGCTGAGGACAGGAGAGAGAACATCCCTCCAGGCAAAGGGGCTGAGAGGTGATGGACCCCATTCCTTACCGACAAGGTGCCTTGGCCTTTCCCTTTGGCTGTTAATGTGAAGTTCTCATTTTCCTTGGTCTGCAGGGAGTGGGGAGAGAGAAGAAAGCGTGTTGGGAACCAAGTTTTCCCCGGCTGTGATGGCCATCTGCCTGCTCTCCTGTCCCTCCAGCAGACTCTGGGTAGTGTGAAGGGCGAAACAGAGCAAAGGGGCCTTGGCCAGGAGGATCCACCTCTTCCGATCGCAGCAGGCTGGCGGATTCCCAGACGATGCGGTGATTGACCAGAGAATTGCGGCTGGGCAGGTTGATGGACACATCCAGGTTCAGATCCTCATGGTCAGGGAGATCCCTCTGGTACTGAGCCAAGGCCTGGAACACCATGAAGGTGGCCTAGAACCCACCAGAGAGAAAGAGGGTGAGATTGGGAACCAGGGAAAGTGGTTAGAATCCATGAAGGAAAAGGGGGCTCAGACCAGAGCTAGGACACTAAGATTGTGGCCTAGAGAGTGCAGGCATATGACTGGGGGTCTGGGAATACTGAGGATATGTCCTAGAACTTGCCAACATAGAGGGGCTCTGACCGGGGCTTGGAGACATTTACAGTATGACCTAGAACCCACTAGAGAGTGTGGGGGTAAGACTGGTGGTCTGGGAACACTCAAGGTATGTTCTAGAACTTGCCAAGGCAGAGGGGCTCTGACTAGGAATTGGGAACACTTAGACTATGACCTAGAACCCACTAGAGAATGTGGCGGTAATGTTGGAGTCTGGGAACACTGGACACATGTTCTAGAACTCTCTAAAGCAGAGGGTCTCTGACTAGGACTTAGGAGCACTTAGACTATGACCTAGTACCTACTAGAGAGTGTGGGGGTGATGCTGGGTTCTGGGAACACTGGAGACATGTTCTAGAACTCTCCAAATGACAAAGTCTCCAATCAGGGCTTGAAAACACTGAGAACCTGTCTAGAACCTATCAGAGAATATGGGGGTAAGATTGGGAGTCAAGTGACACTGAGAACATTGTGTGGTCTAGAACCACGGGAGGAGAGTCTCAGATCAGGGCTTGGACACTGAGAATGTGTCTAGAACCCATTCATGAAAGGAATAAAACTGAAGCCTGGGGACATGGAGCATGTGATCTAGAATCCAATTAGGGAGAGATTCAGACAAAGGCCTGGTGACACTGAGAATGTGATTCAGAGAGCCCACCAAAGAGGAAGAAGGTCAAACTGGAGCCTGAGGTTGATGCAGCCTGGAACCATGATTTAGAACCCACCAGGGGGAGAGAGATGCTCAGACAAAGCTCCAGAGGAACCTAGAACCTGGTCTAGAACCCACCAGGTAGACAGACAAGGTCTTAGGGTAACATATAACCCAGTCTAGGACCTATCAGGAGGAGAGAGGCTTACCCTAGAGTCACCTAGAACCTTGTCCAGAACCCACCAGGGGGAGAGAATAAGATTGGGAGCTTAGTGGAACTGGGAACATAGTCTAGAACCCATCAAGGACAAGGAATAAGAAAGATTTACATCTAAACCTGAACCCTGAAAACATGATCTAGACACCAAGAAGGAGAGGGAGGCTCAGAATACATCTTGGGACATCAAGGACACAATCTAGAACCCACAGATGGTGGGTTCTAAGAAAAAAATGGATTTCTCAATTCCATCCCAATCACCCTGGCTTGTGGGACAGAACTGCCTCTCTGCACCCAGTGTCTCCTCCGGAGGCCAGTGGGAGGCCAGAGGAAGCAGGGATGCAGGTGCCTGGGGCATATGTGACCACTTGCCTGGGTGGAGCCATAGCCACCTCCATAGTATCTCTGCTCATTGAGCCAGCGCACGACAGGAGGCACAGAGTCAAAGTCTCTGAGCTGTAGCAGGGCCAAGAGGGCGTAGGATGTGGCCTCCACATTGTACAGCTGCTGACCAGACTCCTCCCAGCGGTTCTTATCTGCAGAGAGAACCCGCCACTGCTTACTGCTCTGATGATGGTTCAGAGAAGGATCCAACAAAGACTCATGCTGGAAGCTCCTGATTCTGTAAACAGTGGGTGTGCTTGGCTGCTAACCAAAAGGGTGGAGATTCCTCAGAAGAAAGCCATGGCCGTTTACTTCCAAAAGATCACAGCCACTGAAAACCCTATGGAGTCCAGGTCTACTGAAACACATGGGGTTGCCGCAAGTCAGAAGCAATTCAACAGCAACTGGTAGAACCTCTTGGTGCTCAGACATCCTGGCTCTTGATCTGTTGGCTCCTGCCTCTCTCTCACTCCTCATCAACCCTCATTCCTCCTTTTAAATTCTGAACTTCAGCCCCATTGAACTATGGGGAGGTTTCCTAAATGTGCCATGCTCATTCTGACCTCTGGGTCTTTGTATATGTTGCTCCCTCGACTTGGAGTCCTTTTCCTCTACCTGTTGTTTTTGGGTACCAAATTGATTCCTACTCATAGCAGCCTGATGTTGTTGTGTGAGGTGCCATTGAGTTGTTTCCGACTCATAGCGACCCCATATATAGCAGAATGAAACACTGCCCGATCTCATGCCAGCTCCATGATCCTTGCTATACTTGAGCCCACTGTCGTAGCCACCGTGTCAATCCATCTTGTTGAAGGCCTTCCCTTCTTTCGTCAATCCTCCACCTTACCAAGCATGACATCCTTCTCCAGGGAATGGTCCCTTCTGACAACATGACCAAAGTAGCTGAGATGAAGTCTGGCCATTCTCGCTTCCAAGGAGCATTTTGGCTGCACTTCTTCCAGGCCAGATCTGTTAGTTCTTTTAGCAGTCCACGGTACTTTCAGCATTCTTCGCCAGCACCACAACTCAAAAGCATCATCTCTTCTTAGGTCTTCCTTATTCATTGTCCAACTCTCACATGCATACGAGGCGATTGGAAATATCATGACTTGTGTCAGGCGCACCTAGTCCTCAAGGAGACATCTTTGCTCCTCAGCACTTGAAACAGTTCCTTTGTGGTTGACTTTGCCAGTGCTACACGTCGTCTAATGTCCTGACTGCTGCTTCCATTGGCATCGATTGTAGAACTGAGCAACGTGAATTCTTTGACAACCTCAATCTTTTCTCCATTTATTGTGATGCTGCTCACTGGTCCAGATGTGAGGATTTTTGTTTTCTTTATATTGAGATATAATCCATACTGCAGACTGTGTTCTTCAATCTTCATCCATAAGTGCCTCAAGTCATCCTCACTTTCAGCAAGCAAAGTTGTATCATCAGCATATTTCAGGTTGTTAATGACTCTTCCTCCAATTCTGATGTTACGTTTTTCTTCATATAGTCCAGGTTCTTGGATTATTTGCCCGGCATATAGATTGAATAAGTATGGGGAAAGGATACAACCCTCACACACTCTCTTCTTGATTTTAAACCATGTAGTGTCCCCTTGTTCCATTCGAACAACAGCCTACTGGTCTGTCTACAGGTTCCTCTTGAGTACAATCAAGTGTTCAGGAATTTCCATTCTTCTCAATGTTATCCATAATTTGTCATGATCCACACAGTCAAATGCCTTTGCATAGTCAATAAAACACAAGTAAACATCTTTCTGGTATTCTTTGCCTTGAGCCAAGATCCATCTGACAACAGCTATGATATCCCTTGTTCCACATCCTCTTCTGAATCCAGTTTGCACCTCTGGAAGTTCTCTGTCAATATACTGCTGCAACAGTTTTTGAATTATTTTCAGTAAGATCTTACTTGCGTGTGATATTAATGACCTTGTTCTATAATTTCCACATTCTGTGGGATCACCTTTCTTTGGAATGGGTACAAATATGGATCTCTTCCAGTCAGTTGGCCAGGTAGCTGCCTTCCAAATCTCTTGACATAACTGAGTGAGTGCCTCCAGTGTGGCATCCGTTTGTTGAAATATCTCAACGGTATTCCACCAATTCCTGGAGCTTTGTTCTTCACCAATTCCTTCATTGCAGCTTCGATTTCCTCCTTCAGTACCATTGGTTCTAGATCATATGCCACCTCCTGAAATGGATGAAGATCGACCAGTTCTTTTTGGTACAGTAACTCTGTGTATTCCTTCCATCTTCTTTTGATGTTTCCTGCATCATTCAATATTTTGCCCTTAGAATCTTTCAATATTGCAACGTGAGGCTTAAATTTTTCCCTCAATTATTTCAGCTTGAGAAATGCAAAGCATGTTCTTCCGTTTTGTTTTTCAAACTCCAGGTCTTTGCACATTTCATTATAATAATTGGCTTTGTCTTCTTGAGCTGCTGTTTGAAATCTTCGGTTCAACTCTGCTTCTCCTCAATTTGAGTGGAGCCATGTCAGCAAATGGAGGTCGAGAAAGCTTTATCTTATCCATATGAGTAAGGCTGATTTTACTCTGATAATGCAGCTCTTGCCCAGTTCTGCTTTGAGAGCTTTCTAAGCTAACTGACTTATCTTCCTCCTCTGTATTGGACAATGTTTCCGGGCTATTCATAAAATTGCGCAGTAACATATCAGACAGTGTTTCTCTGCTATTCGTAAGATTTTTCCTGGCCAATTCTTGGAGAAGTGGATGGCCTCCTCCTTCTTCCTAGTCTATCTCAGTCTGCTACCCAGGCTAATATCTGTGCACCAAGTGAACCCCACTGGGTTTGAAACACCAGTGGCATAGCCTCAAGACTCACAGCAACACATCATCACAGTAGGACAAACCGACACACAAGTTTGTCTCCCTTAGCTGTTGGAAACCTCTCCAACCACCCTCACCTGGATCCCTGCGGCTGACTCCTCGATCTGTTCCAATCTGTCCCCTTTACCTTTTCTGTCCTCTCCCTGCTTTCCTGCCTTGCTGCTTGTGCGGCGTGGCCTGGTTCCCTCTCCTCACCTGGATCCCTGCGGCTGACTCTGCTAACAGCCCTATATTTCAGAGTGAAACTGCCCCATAGGGTTTCCTGGGTTGTAATCTTTATGGGAGCAGATGGCCAGGTCCTTTCTCTCGCGAAGCTGCTGCTGGATTCAACTGCAGATCTTCTTTTTTTAAAAAAATTTTATTTTGATTTGGGTGAAGATTTACAGCGTAAATTCACTTTTCATAACAGCAGTTCACATAATATACTTTGTCTCATGTCATTGACCAAAATTTGCAATGCAACAGCTCCCCTCCCACTTCCTCCCCATAATTACCTCTTCCCAGTGTCCATCCCTCCATACTCTTCTCAACTGCAGACCTTCTTGTTAGCAGCCAAGTGCTCAACCATTTGCATCACCAGGGCTCCATTTTCTCCAACTACACCTGGTTAATTCTTACCCATCCTGCATAATTCCGCTTCAATGGTCCCCAAGGCTCAGTTAAACCTTCTGTCCCTCAAAGAGTCCTGTGCCTGTCCTGTCTCAATGGTGGGGCACTACCCAGCAATCTCCTATTAACTCATCACTGTCCTCAACTGGAGTGTGATTCTACGATGTGAGAGGGCTGTGCTGCGTCCACTGTTGTATCCCAAATGCCTAAGAAAGTACCTATGACAGCTCAGCCCCCACAAAGCATGGAAGGCTGGGCAATCTACTTCCCTAATGATACCACCTCAGAAACCCAAGGAGGGGTAGCTATGAGTCAGATCTGACTCGACAGCACTGAGTTTGGTGTTTGGGTCTTACAGGACACACAGCTGGACTACATCTCCCAGCTGCCTTTGCAGGTAGGTGTGGCCACATGACTAAGTTCTACCCAATAGAATGTGTATAGCACTAATTGGTTCCCTTCTATGTCTGCCCCACTTCCCTTGCCCAATCCTCCTGTTTCACCTTCTGCCTGGATGCAGAGGAAGTCCCAGGCCCTTGGGCTGGTAGTACCACAACTCAGTAGAGGCCTGGATTCCTGAGTCACTGTACGGAGGAGAGCTGTCATCAACATGGAACACCCACAATGCCATGTTGTGAGAATGTGGCAGAGCAGGATATGAACTCAGGTCTGTCTGATGTGAGAGCCAGTGTCCTTAACTACTTTCTCATGTCTGTGTCATAAGAGTTCTAGACACATGCTTGTTGAAAGAAGGATGTAATGGACAAGAAATAAACTTGTGTTGTGTTAAGCACCCTTAGTCTTGGGGGAGCTATCCCACAGCAGCAGTGTAAACCTAACCAGTACAGTGCCATCACTGGAACCAGTAACTGAGCGCTTACTAAAGGTTGGGCACTATGCTAAATTCCCTAAGGCATTTAGCCATCATGAGAACACCTTGTGATGAGTATGTGCCAGGGGCAGTCCACACAACCAGTGGTTGCCCGGGAAATGCTAAATGACAGGCTCTCTGGGTGGTAGTGCCAGTTTCTGTGGTGTAAATACTCACCCCTCTGACAATATCAAGCTACTAATGTGACATCACTGAACACGGAATTAGGAAGGGATGCCCCGAATAGGCATCACCCTTGAGGTAATGATACTTATCGTGTTGGTAGGTGCCTCTGAGTTGTTTTCGACTCATCATGACCCCATGTGTTACAGAGTAGAACTGCCCTATGGGTTTTCTTGGCTGTAATCTTTACAGGAGCAGAGCACCAGGGCTTTCTCCCTTGGAGCTGCTGGTTGGGTTTGAACTGCCCACCTTTAGGTTAGCAGTTGAGCAATAAACTGTTGTACTACCAGGGTGCCTATAATATTATTAACAATAATAAAAGTAATAAGAGCATCACTTACAGAGTTCTTTCTTACTATGTGCCAGACTCTATCCCACCTACCAAATGAAACCAAACTCATTACCATTGAGTCAATTCCAACTCATAGTGACCCCAATTGGGTTTCCAAGACTGTAAATCTTTATGGAACCAGACTGCTTCATCTTTATTCCACAGAGTGGCTAGTGGGCTTGAACCACCAACCTTTTGGTTAGCAGCCAAATGCCTTAATCATTGCGCCACTAGAGCTCCTTGTTCTACCTATATTACTAATTTAATCTTCACAATCACCCTATGACGTAGGTATCATTTTAAGATGAAGAAACTAAGGTCCAGAGAGGTTAAGTGACTTGTACAAGGTCATACTGTGAGAATCTGGCAGAGCAGGATCTGAACTCAGGTCTGTCTGATGTGAGAGCCCATGTTCTTAACTACTGTCTCACTTCTGTGTTATAAGAAGTTACAGATACACTTTTGCTGAATGAATGATGCAATGGACTTCATGTGTGGCTCTGCATACTGTAGAGACACCCACCCCAGCTCAGCCTGGAGCCTTGTACCAGCCCAGCTCAGCCCAGGGCCATGGACCCCAGCTCGGCTGGGAGCCATCCACCACAGCTTGGCCCAGAGCTTTGTACCATTCCAGCAAGGCTCAGAGCTTCATATCTCAGCTTAGCTGGGAACCATCCACCCCAGCTCAACCTGGAGCCGTCTACCCCAACTCAGCCCAGGGCTGTGCACCCCAACTCAGCCCAGGGCCGTCCACCTCAGCTCGGCTTGGAGCCATGCATCCCAGCTTGAGATCACCCCTCCAGTCCCGGACATGCACCTCCCCACCTCTTCATGCTGCCCTCACCTTTGGCTGTGCTCAAAAATTTGTTAAGGCGGGCGTTGTCCAGCTTGCCCAACAGGGCCAGGGCATAGCCGGCGATGGCCACCGTGTATGGTCTATTCAGGTTCATGTAATGGGCTTCAAGGAAGTTTCTGGACTTGTTGATGCTGTTGCCCAGGCTCTATGAGGGACAGGATCGGTATTCCTGGTCAGGTGGGCATTGCTGCACTGACCACTGGTAAAGACCACACAAGTGCAACTCTCTGGGCACCCGGGAAGCTTCTGTCCTCGGGACAGATATGTCTGGCAATTTGTTAGGTGCCATCACATTGGTTCCAATCCTAGTGACCCATGTCAACAGGACAAAGCACTGCCCGGTCCTGCACCTTCCTCACAGTCACTGCTGTGTCTGTGCCCATTGCTGCAACCCCTGAGTCAATCTGTCTTATGGAGGGTCTTTCTCTCTTTCATGGACCCTCTATTTGGTGGTCAGAAGGTTAAGCGTTTGGCTACTAACCAAATGGTTGGCGGTTCAAATCCACCCAGAGGCGCCTCAGAAGAAAGGCCTGGTGATCTGCTTCCAAAAGATTCACAGCCACCGAAAACTCTATGGAGCACAGCTCTGCTCTGACACACGTGGGGTCGCCATAAGATGGCATCGATTCGAAGACAAGTGGTGCTCTGGTTATTACTATGGCTAATGGGATAGATGTTCTCATACTGAGGAGGACTAGAAACTGCCAGAATGCATGTGGCCATCTCGCTGTCTGAGCTGGCTGTGGCCTGAGTGGGTCGGGGAAGGGTGTGGGAGTGGGGATCAGGAGCACGTACGTTGACCTGCCCCTTGCAGACATCTTTAGACTCCAGCAGCCCGATGAGGACAAAGGCCGTGAGGGCCACAGCTTTCTCTGTGCTCTTCCGGATGGCACCCTAGAATGGAAAGCAGGAGGCAAAGATGGGGTCACCAATGTGTGTGTTTGCACATTCCAAACAACCCCTTTACAGAACCAGGGACCAGGGCAGAGTTGGGTTTCTTCCCAGTGTCTTCCCCAGCAGGGCTGTGATGGATTGAATTGTATCCCCCAAAATATCCTAACCCTATATCTGGGGACATAAACCCTTTAGAAATAGGTTTCCTTTGTTATGTTAATGAGAGCATCCATTCAGGGTGTGTCTTAAGTCAATCTCTTCTGAGATATAAAGAGATCAAACAAGTAAGGAAGCAAGCAGAGATGGGGAAGATAGGGATCTCCAGGGAACCAGCTGAAGAGACAAGGACCTTCCTCCAGAGCCGACTAAGAGAGAAAGCCTTCTCCTTGAGCTGGCACCCTGAATTCAGACTGCAGCCTCCTCAACTGTGAGAGAGTACGTTTCTGTTTGGTACAGTCAGCAGCTCTAGGTAACTAAGGCTGTGATGCAGTGCATTACTTGGTATGGCTTTTCTAGCCACAGCCTTTGAAACTCCCACCAGATGACTGGGTGGGACCACGCAAATAAGGTGTGTGGAACTCTGATGTTGGCATTGGTTAGTTGTGTCACTCTGTCAAGCTTAAAATGAGCCCTCCTAAATGCAGAGGGGGGGATCTAACTGCCATCAAGAGAGAAGAGCTAGAGGTGAAGTGGAGTGTGTCGCTGGACCCAAAATCCCTGCACTAGACCTCCTTGGCTGAGACGATCTGGCAAATACGACCTGGCAGAGACCTGACTGAGAAACCAAGAGGCATGAGACAGAGTGGTGAAAGCTGAGTGCCCTTAGGCAGGAGGCTTGCTGGGGGGAGTGGGGTGCACCTGTTGGCAGAGCTGTTAAGAGCTTTGTAGCACTTGCACGAGCAGGGCAGAGGCAAGGCAGAGAGGCCAAGGGCCAGAGAGGTGTGTCTGAGGGCATACCAGAGGGGAGACTGGCCTGACTGAAGAACTGTATCCTGAGCATGTTCCTGAACCTGTTACTTCCCTAGTAAACCCCATAATCACGAGTATTTTGAGTTCTGTGTAGTCACTGCAATGAATTATCGAACCCAGCAGAGAAGTAGCGAGTGCCATGAGAGGGAAGGCTAGTGTCGGAATTAGTAAAAAGGCTGGCGGGTGGTAGCATGTCTGGCCTCATAGGAATCAGCCTTGGACTGCTCATGGTGACTCTGTCTTCCCCTTGTGAAGTGGGAGGAGGTCAGAAGATGCCACCTCCATGGCCTTTTTGCAAAGGCCAAATCCTTTAGTATTCTAGTCATTCATCTTAAGATGTTTTTCAAGAGCCACTGTGTTGACATCATGGATACCATGGTGGATGAAAAACAGGCACTGACCCTGGCCCTCACAGAGCACTCCCTGCCACCAGTCTAATAGGAGAGACAAATGTAGACCAGCCAGCCCACCAATAGATACAAAATTAGAAACTGACCAGGCTGTGAAAAAGTGGACAGGACTTGAGAATGAATGGCTGAGAGAACAGACCCAGTTGGGGACAGGAAAAGTATCCCCAGGGGATGCAGACTGAGCCCCCATCAGAGAAGTAGGAGTGAACTTTCAAAGAGGGCAAGCCTTAGCATCTAGAGCACGTGCAAAGGCCCTGTGGCTGGGAAGAGCAAGATCCTCAGTATGGATTGTGTGTGGAGAGAGAAGGCAGTGGACATTCACTTGAGCACTCATCAGTGTCACCTTGGTGGGGGAGGGGCTTGGTGAAACTCCGATTCCTGCCACCCTCCCGTCCCAGTTTCTGACTCAGTGGGTCTGTAGGAGCTCTGGTAGCGTAGTGCCTAAGGCATTTGACTGCTAACCAGAAGTTCAAACCCACCAGCCACTCCTGGGAAGGAAGGTCCGTAGTGATACTGCCTCGGAAACCCAAGGAAGGGTCGCTATGAGTCGCATCCGACTCGAAGGCAGTGCGTTGAGTTTGTTTGGGTTTACAACGGAGGAGTGAGCACCGGCTCACACCTCTCCCCGCAGTAGGTCCCGAGAACGTCCGCTTACAGTCATGTGTTGCTGTATTACAGGCCCATCCTCCTGGAAGACGCCGTCGGGGTTCTGCTTCTTCAGGATCAGCCATTTGACCGCCCCGCAGAGGACCTCCGAGTCGATAGGGATGAGGTTGGCAGCCAGAGAGAAAACCCGGACCACATAGGCGGTCAGCCTGGAGGTGGGCAAAGGGTGAGACCAGAGCTGTGAGATCCAGAGTGTGCCGTCCAATCCAACCAATGAGCAGCGAGAGGCGGGGCCTTGCCAGGGTCGGGCGCCCACCCCAGTGTAGGCGGTCTTGGAACTAAGTGTGTCATGAGCCAATTGGCTGTGCAGTACGAAGAATGCCATCCCAGTAAACCAATGAACGGCAGCTCTCAAGCCCACCCCTACATTAGGCGGGCCCAGGACTAAACGTTGCTTAAGCCAATCGGTTGTGGGATCCAAAGAGTGCCATCCTAGCAAACCAGTGAACAGCGAGGGGCGGGGCTGATCAGGCTCCTAGGGCCGCCCCAGTCAGGGCGCTCGTGGGCCAGGACGAAGTGTTGCATGCGCTCGTGGGTTCCCCGCCAGAGATCCCTACGCCATGCAGCCCCTGTACTCTGCAGGTGGCGCGGTCTGCTTTGCGTCGCACAGGCCGGGCCTCCTAGAGACTCACCAGGTGCTGGACGGCCTGTTCTGGAAGGCGGCGAAGGCGGAGTTGGGTTGTCTGAATGTCAGCTGCCGCGTGTACCCTGCAGGGAAGGGGGTAGTGTGGCGGAGGGCGTGGCGGCTGGTGGGTGCGCCCGGAGGGGAGGAGCTCAGAGAGGGGACAGGGGTTTGGAGAGGAAAAGGGGGATCTTTCAAGGAAAGGGGGGGTGAACTTGAGGAGGGGCGGGCCTCAGAAGGAGGAGGGGAATCAGAGAGTGGTGTCAGGAGAGAGGCTCATTGGAGGGAGGGGTCTCAGAGAGGAGGTGAAATTCCCCAAGGGAGAGAGAGACTAAGAGAGGGGTCACTGAAAGGAGAGGAGAGGGGTGCCTTAGAGAGGGAGAGGAGTTCAGGTAGTGAGAGGGCTCAGAGGAAGAACGGGGGTCCCAGAGAGGAGGTGGAGGAGGTCTCCAAGGAGGAGGTATTTCAGAAAGGGGCGGGGCCTCAAGAGAGAGGCGGAGGAGAAGGGGTTATGGGAGGAGGGATCTTGGGGGCAGGAGACTCAGGATGGGGCATTTCAGAGAGGGGAGGCGGTCTCAGAGAGGGAGGTTTAGAGGGGGAGGGGGTTCTCAAAGGAGAGGGGTCTCTGGTAGGAAGTCTCAGGCTGGGAGGGGCTCCGGGGGAGGGGTGGGGAGGAGGGGCCTCAGCGGTCGGGGCCCACCCTTCTTGATGAGCTCCAGGGCCTGCTGGCGCTTCTCCAGGCCGAACTTTTCCCACTGCTGCGTGTTGTCCAGGTAGTGCACAGCGATGACTGTGGGCGTCATGCCGATCATAGTCTGCTCCCCGCAGCCCGAGGGCGTCACGATGAGGTGCTTCAGCCGGTCCCCATCGATGGCCTCCTCCGTCATCTGGGCCACCGGGGTCCCTGGGGCAGGTGAGGAGGAGGGGAACAAGGCTCAGGTGACCTACCAGGGGCTGGGGAGGGGCGGGGCTTCCCCAGAGTCTCAGCCTCAGACCAGTTGGCGACAAGGGAGTCAGGGATAGTGGGGGGCTAGGGGCTGGGGGGCAGGCAATGACTGAGTAGTTCAATAGGAGTCTGCATTTGTGCTGCTTCACAAGGGACCCCTGGCCCCTGAGTTCTCCTGTTATACCAGAGATAAAAAAACTACAAACAGGTAAAAACAAACCCAAGGCCACTGAGCCAATTCTGACCCACAGCGCCCCTAGAGGACAGAGTGGAACTGCCCCCATAGGGTTTCCAAGGCTGTCAATCTTTTTTTTTTTTTTTTTAATTGTTAGTTGGACGAAAATTTACAGAGCAAATTCACTTTCCATACAGCAGTTCACCTACACTTTGTCTCATGACACTGACCACAGTTTCCCACAATGCAACAGCTCCCCCTCCCACTTCCTCCTGACAGTCACCTCTTCCCTGTGTCCTTCCCTCCATGCACTCCTGCCCCCTGAGCTGTCTCCCTGTGCATAAACAGCCCTTCTTTCTCCTATGATAGTTCTCTCCAAAGAGTGTATGCACCTCAGGTAAATGTTCAGCTCATATGCCTGTCTTTTCTTTGGCTGGAAGCCACAGGTGTGGGTTCAATTCCAGACCTGAAGGGCAGCTAGGGGCCATAGTCTCAGTGGTTCCACCAGGCTCTCTTGGACCAGCAAACCTGGTCCTCACCTTCTTTTTTCTTTTTTTTCCCCTCCAAATGATTTTGAGTTTTGTTCCACATTGTTCTCCCTCTCTATGCAGGATCTCCTACATCCCTTCCCTTCCAAGTGGATGACAGTGGTAGCTGGGCACCATCTAGTTCTTCTGGTCTCATAGTCGTATAGGCTGTGGATCGCATGGTGTATCAATCGCTAGGACTAATTGTTTCCATTAATTTTGGTTTTCTTCATTCTTCTCTGCTCTGGATGAGGAGAGACCCATCGTTGCATCTAGATGGCAGCTTGCTAGCTTTTAAGATCCCAGTTGCTATTTGCCAAAGTAGGAGGTGGAACAATGTTTTGTATAGTATGTTATGCCAGTTGAGCTTGATGCCCCTGCGACTGTGGTCCCAAGCCCACAGGTTCAACTACTTGGTCCCTCTGGGTAGCTGGCTGTGACCAAGAAGTGACTACAACCTTGTTCCTTGTCAGCTCTACTATGTTGTTGTTGTTGTTATGTGCCGTCGAGTCAGCCCTGACTCATAGCGACCCCTCCTTGGGTTTCCGAGGCAGTATCACTACGGAAGTAGGATTGCCCAACCTTCCTTCCGAGGAGTGGCTGTACACCTTGGAATTCAGATCATGCAAATACACTTATAGGACCACTGTCTGCCAACCCTATATATGGTCTTGGGTACACTCCTCACTTCATAGACATACCTCCTGTCCACCTATCTATCCACCCGTATACCCATGTTTGCCTTTACTGAAAATGCAGTACTGTATGTGCAAAAGTGTTCATCTTAGTTGTCTGTACTTCCTATATACCTCTCTATGTCTTTCTCTTCCTCAATGCCTCCGTATTGATCACTCACATTTGGTACATTGCCCTTCTCTTCACCCAAATCAATAATTGTCTTTACCTATTTAACAGTGTTCCTTTCCCTCCCCTCCCACCCCTGGTAACCAACAAAGAAAATGTCCTTCCATAGATAAACCTTTCCTTGAGTTTTACAAGAACAGACTAATAAAATATTTGTCCTTTTGTGATAGACTTATTTCACTCAGCCTAATGTCCTCCAAATTTATCCAAGTTATGCAGTGTTTTGCAGATTCTAGGTTATTCATTAGGGTTGCATAATATTCCATTGTGTGTATGTACCAAAGTTTGGTTATCTATTCCTCAGTTAATGGACACTTAGGTTGTTTCCATCTTTTGGCTATTGTAAATAGTGCTGTGATGAACATGGGTGTGCATATGTCTGTTCTTGTCATGACTCTCACTTCTTTAGGATATATACCTAGTAATGGAATGGCTGGGTCAAATGGTATTTGTATTTCCAACTTTTGAAGGAATTGCTATACTGCTTTCCATAGTGGTTGTACCATTTTACAGTCCCACCAGCAGTGTATGAGAGTCCCAATCTCTTCAGAGTCCCAATCTCTCCACATCCTCACCAGCATTTGTTACTTTGTGTCTTGTTGAACTTTGCTACTAGTGCAGGAGCAAGATGGTATCTTCTTGTGCAGTGTAGTAAATTACCTGGTATGGCTTTTCTAGCCATAAGTCTTTGTAAATTCCATGGTGGAATTTGCTGTGAGCAACTGAGGAGTAAAAGTTATCCACCTGGGGTATTTCTGTTGGGAGTGGCACTGGAGCAATGTTCTGGGAAGTTCGCTCTCTCTCAGTTGCTTAGAATTCTAATGTTATGATTGGCTGGTTTGGCCACTCTGCCAGGTTCAAGAGGAGGCCTCCTAGCGGCAGAGGTCTCTCTGACTCCTGGGTGAGGAAGACGCGCTGCTGGGAAAGAGACACAAGAGACACGCAATGCTGAGAAAGAGACACCGAGGGACATGCGCTGCTGGGAGAGTGTGAGAGACTGTTGGCTGAGAGACGGCGGGCTGAGAGAGACTGTTTTTCTGAACTTGAATAGTATGTAGCCTGGTGCTTCCCTAATAAACCCCATAATCTGTGAGTTCTGTGTGGCCACTGCAGCGAATTATCGAACCCAGGAGAGAGGTGGTGGGTGCTTTGGGAGGAACGATTGGTGAAAGGGCTGGAGGGAGGCAGCATGTCTGGCCTGGCAGAAATAGGCCTTGGGTTACTGATGGTGATCCTGTCTTCCTCTTGTGGGGTTAGAGGAGGTCGGAACATGTGGCCTCCTTGCTTTGTTTGCACGTTGTTTTGATTTGCATCTCTCTAATGGCTAATGATCGTGAGCATTTTTTCATATGTTTGTTGGATGCCTGAATATCCTCCTTGGTGAAGTGTCTATTCATGTCTTCTGCCCATTTTTTAATTGGATTATTTGCCCTTTTGTTATTGAGGTGTTGGAGTTTTCTATAAATTCTAGAGGTAAATCCCTTGTCAGATATGTCATCGCTGAGTATTTTTTCCCAATCTGTAGGTTCTCTTTTAACTCTTTTGGAGAAGTCTTTGGAAGCACATAAAAATTTAATTTTTAGAAGATCCCATTCATCTAGTTTCTCTTCTGCTGTTTGTGCATTTTGGGTTATACTTGATAGTCTATTTATGCCATATATTGTTGTTATTGTTGTTATGTGCCGTCGAGTTGGCCCCTACTCATAGCAACCCCT